AGTCCAGCTGGCCTTGGTGAGCTCACAATAGATCAGCCCCACTGTCTCCGTGGGTGGGTGCACCCCTCGTGGTCCTGACTTCTTTGCTCATATTTTCCATACTGATTAATATCTTGCATATCACCATAGAACCTTCATCTGGAGATGGATGGAGATAGAGACAGAGACCCACACTGGAGCACTGGACTGAGCTCCCAATGTCCCAAGGAGGAGCAGAAGGAGGGAACAATTCTTTATTTTGAAGAAACTGATGCCACAAGACTCTTGTCCCCATTTCTTGGAGTTTTCTCGTGAGCACTCAGAATTCCCTTGCTCTCCTCTATTCCTGTTTCATGTTCCAACATGAACTGACACCTAAATCTGTCAAATACTATACAATAGAATGTTTTCCTTTCTTTGTTTGATTTTACCTCTAATTTCTAAAATAAGATTCCCACCTAAGTCTTTGAGATTTGGTTTTTGTTTCTCTTCTATGGCAATCCTTCCTGGTATACTCAAGTGAGATAGCAGCATCTACACCTCTAATGACCCAAGAAAGTATGTACTACCATATCACAATAAAGGACTGTATATTCATTAATGTGTTTGTCTTTTCTATTACATTTTGGTAATGATACTAAAACTTGATTCTCTCTCACTGAGGCCAGAACCTAATATTTGGTTAATGTATAAATATCTTTTTTTTTTTTGAAAAGGCAAACTTAAAATTAATGCTAGACTCTTCATTTAGGTACTAACACGGTTCACATTTATAAAACAGATATGTAATTGAAAAGTTAACTTGATTTTTAATGCTAAAGCAGAAGTGGAATTAACCTAGTAGAATTCTATCATGAAGTAGAATTTCAGAGCAGTAGATGTGAAAATTGCAAACTAACTGGATTCCAAATAGAAAGTTTGAAATACTTATTCATATTTTTATTTCTATACAACAAAGGAAATAATTAACAGAGGAAGCAAATAACCCAATAAATGGAAGAAAACACTTGCAAACTACATATTTGATCAGTGATTAATTCCCAGAATGCTTCAGGAACACAAGATCCCCATAGTCAAAACATAATAAAAATGGTCAGCAAATTTCTAAGATGATATACAAGTTTCTTTCTAATAAACATATAAGCATCATCATTATTAAAGCCAATCTGACTTCATTAAGTAGTAGAGACTTGGTTCTGGCTAAGTAGATGAATAATGTGTTTCCAAGGCTTCTTGTAATAAATTTTACTAAGCATGCTAATCAAAACAAAATTCAAATGTCTCTTCACTATAACAAGTATAGTTAATATTAAAAAGAATAAAGAAAAAGGTCCAACAATATACAAAAATGGGCAAAGGAAAGTCATGCACAATTTTGGTGTTGTTGGCAGGGGTGTAAATTAATAAAACAACCTAAGAAAACAACTCAATTTCTTAAATTTAAAAACACTGGCAATAGTTACACTATATAACCCACCAATCCCACAGAGTAGGCATTCAAGGAAGATTAAATGAATATGTTGAGAAGATATAGGAATTATGTATTGTTTATACCTCCATTTAAATAAACAAGAAACGGTAATAACCTAAGTGTCCACCAATTAACATAGAAGATATGGTACATATGCATAATGGAACATTATCATTAAGATAAAAGTATAGTTTTCTGACATTTGTATGATATGGATGGAATTTAAATTATGTTAAGCGAATTCAGAACAAACAAATTATCACTACATTTTCAGGCTCATATATGAAGATGTCTCAGCAATTAAGAGCATTGTCTGCTCTTCCAAAGGTCCTGAGTTCAATTCCCAGCAACCAAATAGTGGTTTACAATCATCTGTAATGAGATCTGTTGACATTTTGAGGAAAAGACCTGGTCAGTCATCCATATCAACTTAGATCATGAAACCCAATATGGACAAGTTCAACAGAACTATCATATACAGGCTGCCCATTCATGTTCCAGTATTACCAGAGCATCAATTTCATTCATATAAATATTAAGTCACTGGTCACATAGAAGTTGAGAGTAAGATGGTGGTTACCATAGGCTGCGGTGTGTTAAGAGGCAGGATGGAAAGGATAAAGGAAACTGGTTGATGTGTACCAAGATACATGTAGAAAGGAGTGAAGGTTAAGGTAGATTACTGCATAGTTGGGTGACTATATATACTGTACTATGGATCCATTTTATTTTTTAAAGATGTATTTATTAAAGATGTGTGTTTGTTTGTTTGTCTCTGTATGGATATGTGCCCATGAGTATAGGTTCACATGGAGGCCAAAAGAAGGCACTGGAGTAACAAGATCTTTGAGATACACAACACAAATGCTAAAATCTGAACTGGATTCATTTGAAAAAGTGGTATGTGATCTTAAATACTGAGCCATCTTTCCAGCATCATAAAACAGTGTGAATTAATGAGAGAGAAATAAAAAAAGAAAGACTTGGGAGGATTGTTTCATTGTTGTTTGTTTGTTTGGTCAGTTGGTTTTTAATATCTCTATATAACCACCTTGATTTTCTGGGAACTTTTTCTGTAGTCAAGGCTGGCTTCAACCTCAGAGATCCACCTGTCTCTGGCTCCCAAGTGCTAAAATTAAGGCATGTTCCACCACTGCTAGGCAAGACCTGAAAGGATGTTAAATATCACCACAACAGCAAATAAATGTTTGAGTAGATAAATATTTAACCTGTTTCACAAATTAAGAATTGTATGTCAATATCAAAGTATTAACACATAACCTGCAAATATATACAATTTTGTCATATTATACATATGTATCAGTTAAAATATATTACAGTATATAAAATAATAAATTTGGCTAAACAATAAATTTAAAGATTCCAAATTAGCTTGTTTGTGTTCCAACATAGTAAAACACATTAAGAAGGAAATATGTGTGAGTAATAAAATTTCAACACATATGAAATCCGTTAGCAGCTTGAACTTGTACATCTCAGCTTCTACAACTGTTAGAAGTAAGTGTGATTTAAAGTTATTTTATAAAACACACACACACACACACACACACACACACACATACCAATATACGTGTTCCAGAGTCAGAGACTAGATAGAGAGAGATATTCTTCACTGGCCACTGCCAAAGCAGCCAAATCACGAAGGAAAGACTGAATTTTGAAGAGTGTAACTGAAGAAGTCTGGGTATTAGGCAAGAAGTTTTGGGAAACCTTGGCAACATAGGCAAACAGAAAAGTGGAACACATCAAGTGAAGATGCACTATGTAATTTTAACCTGGATGTGGAGAGGAAATGTCTATAATTCCACATCAGAATAGCAGTCTTAACTGAAGAATCCTATGATTGGGGAACTTCAGCTTGTTAGAAGCCTCACTGACTTTCAGCATCTACTCTGCTGCTAATGAACTCACACTGGACACTTTAAGTGTCCTAAAACCAAAGTATCCCATCTTGCTTTTAGTAAGCAGTAGCCAATGTTGATCTGCTAGACCCTTAGTGGTGTAAACAGCTCACAAAATAGAAGAGAGGTCCCTTAGTGCTCAGAGCTACTGAGATTGTACACCTAGTGATGAATACTATCCAGATATGTTCCAGAGAAAAAAAGAGAGTCTATTATAGTTCTTGGCTTCAGGTCTACAGTTCATAGTTACCAAAATACTGACATAATTTGCATTTGTCCCTGGAGGCCTAAGATAGTTCCGTTCCAGCTTAGATGTGTTTTCCATTGCTGCAATAAAGCACCCTAACCAAAAAAAAAAAAATTGATGAAAGTAGATTTCTTTGGTTTACACTTTCACAGTGTAGTCCTCTATTGAAGGAAGCTAGAACAAGAACTCCTGCAGAAGAGGAACCTGTAGGCAGGTGATGATGCAGAGGCTATGGAGGGGTGCTGCTTACTTGTTTTCTCAGCCTGCTTTGTTATAGAGCTTAGGAGTACATGCCAGGGATGACATAATGCTTGATAGTCTGGGCTTTCTCTGACAAATCAGTAATTAAGAAAATCCCCCATTAACTTGGCCATAGTCTTATCTTATAGAAATTCTTTCTTCATTGAGGGTATGATGTGGGATTCCCTCTGTATGCTGTGAATATAATTAGTTAATAAAGGAACTGCTTTGAGCTTATAGCAGAGCTATAGGGGAGCAAAGCTAGGCAGGGAAAACTAAACTGAATGCTGGGAGAAAGAAGGGCAGAGTCAGAGAGAAGCCATGTAGCCCTTCCAGAGAAAGAAGCCAGAACTTTACCTGGTAAGCCATAGCCACATGGCGATACACAGATTGATAGAAATGGGTTAAATTACAATATAAGTGTTAGCCAATAAGAAGCTAGATATAATGGGCCAAGCAGTGTTTTAATTAATACAGTCTCAGTGTGATTATCTCAGGCTGAGCTTCTGGATGGCCAAGAAACAAACTAACAGCTTCCTTACAACAAATCAGCATCAACATGGTGGACTAAATCCGCAAAATACCTGAGAGAGCTTGACAAGTAATTCTAGACACTAAAAACAAAGCTTAGCAGATGGACTTTGCTTGCTGGAAGCACACTGAGGCTCCCTTAAGAGAGGTTTTCCTGATTCAGCAGTAGCAAGAAAAAAAAAGCCAAGCTGTTTTGAAATGCTGGCTTTCTGCCCTGTGCTGCCAGCATGAACTCTGGCTTTCAGGAGACTGAGCATTTGAATGGGGTTTGTGAACAACATGCTACAGCTTGTTTGGTTGCAACATGAACCAACTGTGTGCCTAGAGATGGGATATTACGCATGACTCTCAGAGGTGGTGAGCAACTCCATCATGTTGTACTGTGCTGAGAAAGCATGAAGTACCATATATACTCCAGTAATGCCACAGCTTAAGTTTTTAAGAAGTACTTCGCATTTTAAAAAGTGTTCCTGGATAGTAAAGGATTACTGTACAATAAAGACAAATTCAGATGGAAAAGACCTCTAAATGGGTCACAGTGTTAGATAAATGTACGTAGGCATGGGAGAGAAAAAAAAGAATAGGCAGAGTGCACACAGTCATTGATTAAAAGGAGTAAAGAAAATTAAATCATGTAAAAATGAAAAATTCTCAGAGAGTTGTATATTATTGTGTTTTCTTTGAATTTTTTGACTGAAGAGAGACATTTGATTCTGAGGATTGCTAAGCTAAACCGACATGCATACTTTAAAGGTATCTTAATTTCAAAATATGTATTTAAGGATATGTTGCTTTGAAAAAGTGGTTCTTCTTTTGTTTCCTCAGAGGATGAGAACCTGTGAATTGCTTCCATACTAATATGGTTTGATGGACCAATACTCCCTGAAAGGTCACCTTGGACACCTTCACCCAACTGTGTACTGAGATGAACCTAACATACAGGATATACCATGAAAGACCTGATTAACAGTGTCCCCACTCAGCAGGAAGTAATCTAGAAAACTACATCCATAATCCCAAATATCCCCTGTAAATATTTCTTTCCATTTAAAGTGGGATATGCTATAGAGATTTACATTGGTATGGATCTTGGTTTTTTGATACAGATTTAAGGTCTATTTTGTTATATGTATATTTCTGCTCTTGATTAAGATATTGTGTTTGTGC